GGTTCATGCCTTTAATCTCAGCATCTTTGAGTTCAAAGCAGATCTGTGAGTTTGAGGCCAGCCTGGTCTACACAGCGAGTTCCAGGGATATGCAGAGAAACCCCATTTCGAAAAACCAAAAAATAAAAATAAATTAAATAAGTGTTTATTTTAAAAAACAAAAACAAGACAGTCCAAATTAATTGCAGGTCTCCTTGTAGACATTTCTACTAGCCCACCACGAAGCATTGGTTTAGATAAAATCATTTTATTGATAAGTAAAAGTTTAACCCTGGTTCTGTGGCTATTTGCACAGAGCCTAAAATAAGGATAACAACACCTACCGTCCTCATTTTGAAAAAGGCAAAGGTAGCCAGGCACAGTGGCTCATTCCTATCATCATAACATTAGAAGCTAGAGACAGAGAGGTGAGGGGTTCAAGACCCACCCCAGCTATGTAAGACCCAGACTTTAAAATGAAGAGAGAATTGTAAATAGAAGAGGCCAGGAGGCAGGGTTTCAGAAACTGGGTGACCATCTCTTGACTCTGTAACCTCTGTGCTTAGGATTCCTCCCAGGCCCTGGAGCAGCTTGGATTCCTGTCCCCGAGCTGTTTGTGTGTCCCTCCATCCTTTCCTTATCCTTCTCTCGCTCTCTTCCCTAGTACATAGTGAAGTGTCATGGCAACACTCTCCTGCCGCAGTTCCTGGGCATGTACCGAGTCAGTGTGGAGAATGAAGACAGCTACATGCTTGTCATGCGAAACATGTTTAGTCACCGTCTTCCTGTGCATAGGAAGTATGACCTCAAGGTAAGAACAGGATAACCTGGGCTAAAGGAAAGGCTGCTCTCGGCCTGAGAATGGGGGAGGCCTTGGGAGGGCAGTGCCTGACGGAGAGACGTAGATTTGACTGTTCACTGTAGGAACCAGGCTTCTGGTTGTCCCTGTTAGTTTTTCCTTCTGACTTAGTCTCGGTCTCTCCACAGGGCTCCCTAGTGTCCCGGGAAGCCAGCGATAAGGAAAAGGTAATGTTCCTTTCAGGTGATGCCGTGAGGGATGGGGTGGGTCAAAGCAAGTGCTTAGGATAAAGAAGCAGTTCTCCATAGTGGATACAGATCACCAGCTGTTAATTCTTACCTTCAACTACTGGAAAGGAAAAGAGATAATCAGCCACTGATCTGGGGGAGCAGTGGGGTGGCTGTGTTGTTGGTAGCATTGGTTACTCCGTGTTGAAGGTTTGGGGGTAGGTGGGATGCCAGCTGTGAGGAGCAGAGTGCTCATTTCCCGTATGGCATTCAGAGCTCCTGTGTTCAAGTAGCTGTTTTTACTGAGGAAGAAGGAGGAAAAGTCAGTGTGGAGGGTGTGGACCACGTCCATAAGCAGACGGTGGGGGGTGTAACGAGATGCAGCTGACTGAGCCCAGGCATAGAGCCACGAAGGGCTGCTGCTGTCTTCGAAGCTCTGGGGTAGAGAGAGCCTGGATGGAGGCAAGGTTCTCTGAGACCTCGGCTAAGGGAAATGTTCCCAGGACATTCTTTTCCCTCTTCTAGGTTAAAGAACTGCCTACTCTTAAGGATATGGACTTCCTCAACAAGAACCAGAAAGTGTATATCGGTGAGGAAGAGAAGAAAGTGTTTCTGGAGAAGCTGAAGCGAGATGTGGAGGTAACGATCGGGGCCTCAGAGGCGCCCTATCTAATAAAAGAGAAGGAATGGCTCTTTTGTTCTTTAAATATTTTTGCTTTTTGTCTTCCATTCGTGGTACAAGGTTTTTCTTGAATGAAAGGCTGGGGATGAAACAGGAGAAACCCTAGGCCCATTGGTGGGGTAGCGAATGGGATGGGGCACTGGCTGGGGGTCGTCACAGGGTGCTTTTCGATTCCAGGACTCAGGCACTAATTCGTGGTGGTACACCGTGACCTCAGTTTATGCACTCCTTTCCCCAGGAGGGCCCCGAAATTGAAGGCAGGAGACGGACGGGGGGTGGCTGGGATTGGGTGGGAGACCTGGGGTTTCTGACTTGTCAGTGGGTCTCAGTTTCTAGTGCAGCTGAAGATCATGGACTACAGCCTTCTGCTGGGCATCCACGACATCATCCGGGGCTCTGAGCCAGAGGAGGAGGGGCCCGTGCGGGAGGACGAGGCTGAGTGGGATGGGGACTGTAACCTGACTGGACCTCCTGCTCTGGTGGGCTCCTATGGCACCTCCCCTGAGGGCATTGGAGGCTACATTCATTCCCACCGGCCCCTGGGCCCAGGAGAGTTTGAGTCCTTCATCGATGTCTATGCCATCCGGAGTGCCGAGGGTGAGAGAGACCCTGGAAATGTTAAGGGGGGTGGTGGGGACCCTCGGGGGACAGAGACCAGGGTGGTGGATGGAGAAGCTGATGAGCCTCTCACAACAAAGCTGGCTCCAGGGGAAAAGGAACTGGGACTGTATGTACCCGGTCCTCATTGTTAGCCTCTCTCCCCAGGGGCCCCCCAGAAGGAGGTGTATTTCATGGGCCTCATTGACATTCTAACACAGTACGATGCCAAGAAGAAAGCAGCTCACGCAGCCAAAACCGTCAAGCATGGGGTGAGAGTCCCCCAAAGCCCCCCTCTCTTGGCCTGACTGTCCTCGGGAAAGAGAGCCTCTGGCGTCCTCGGTCGGCCGGAGCAGTGGGGTGGCCAGGGAAGGCAGAGGGGAAGGTGGTGAGGCCCCTCACACATTGTTCATGTTTCTTCTCACAGGCGGGGGCAGAGATCTCGACTGTCCATCCTGAGCAGTATGCTAAGCGATTCCTGGATTTTATTGCCAACATCTTTGCCTAAGAGCCTGACTCTGTGGTGGTCACTGCTTTACGTTGAAGGTGGTGGGTTCTGAGAGTCGTAGGGGAGCTGGATTTGGCCACTACTTCTCTTCTTTGCTAAATTCAGACTGCAGGCTCCTTCCATCCAAACCATTCCATCTTGGTGGACAGGCTTTTCCTGCCCGAGAAATACACTGTCCTCCCTCCCCGTGTCCGTTTTCCGCCCACGCTCCTCGCTCCCACCGCGCCCTCTTGCTTCATTAGAGTGTTGGTGACTCTCCTAAGTGCCTTGATCTTTGAAAAACATCTTGTTTCTATGAAATAGGAGGAGCTGGGGGTAGGGTTGTTTGCCATCTTCGAGACCTGACTGGACAGTGGATGTGGCTCAAGCAACTACCCCAGATGCACTTTGCCGTGTGGACGAAACTGAATGTCTGGATTTGCTGATACCATTGCAGGGCTTTGTGGCATGCTCCCTCCCTGTAGGCCCTGGAATGGAGGGCTCTCAGGAGACTCCCATGTGGGTGCAGGCATTCACACATGGACAGTCTGGCATGGAGGTGAGGTGGAGAGTGGTCAGCAGGCTGGCACCTCACAGAGGCAGGACCCAAGCGGACTTTTGTGACTATGCAGAGAGCGGAGGAGGTCCCTGTCGAGCATTGACTGCTGTCCATGCTCTTCCTCCATCCCACCCCACTTGGATCTGTACCCATGAGTTCTTCTGGATGCAGGAGCCCTGGCATGGCCAGAGCGTCCAAGCCTAGGGCCCGGTGTGAGGCTTCTGTAACTGCACCTCCCCAGAACCCTTCAGCGAAGTGGGAGAGAGCGGCGGAGGCTGGGAGACTGGTCGGAGGGCAAGGTTCATTCCTGTGTGACGTTTCCTGTCTTCCTGTCCAGTTACTCCCAAGGGCCCCTTTCTAGTAGAGGGAATAGCTGCATGTGGGTTTCCGTCATTTCGAGAGGACAGAGATCTTGAGTGTGGGAACCCCCCATCCCCTGGACATGGTACCTAGTGCACTTCCTCCCCTCTCCTCAGACACTCTCTGCTTGGATTGTTGTCCTGTTCCCTCTGTCCCATCTTTCCCTGCTACTGTGTCTCCCAGGGGACAGATGGCCTTCTCTGTCATCTTCACTTTCCACCCCCAGAGAGGAGTCAGAGCCATAACTCAGTCACCCAGTCCCTTCCAAAGATAGCTGAGTTAATTCGTGATATCCTCAGAATGGAGAGGGGCTCAGGCATGGCAGCTCGAGCCTGTAAAACCCAGCGCTCAGGAGGCTGTGGCCGAGTGAGTGAGAGTTCAGGGCTGACTTGGACAGCCTGGGCTGCAGAGTGAGACCTGGTCTCAGGAAAACCCAGAAAAGGTATGGGCTTGAGCACTGGAGCTTATAACTCAGTTGGTGGGGTGCTTGCCTAGCATGTCCAGAGCCCGGGCTCACCCCAGCACCACCTAAAGCAGGTGTGCTGGTGCAGTCCTGGAGTCCTAGCTAGCGCTAGGGAATGAAGGTAAGGAGGATCAGGTATCCGAGGTCATCCTCAGTGACAGAGCAAGTTTGAGGCCAGCCAAGGATACACGAGCCTGTCTTGGGGAAAAACGATTCTAAGATGAGATAGATTGTCGTTGTCTCTGCCCAGAGCCTTTGGAACCAAGACACCCTTGCTGTCCTGTCCCTCGTCAGACCTCCCCACTCTGGGGTGGAGGGTGTGAGGTGGGCAGTGAGGGCCAGCAGCCGCTCTGCTGGGTAGCTGGCCTGACCAGTCTCCTAAGAAGCCACGCGGTCCTCAGGAGCAGCGCCCCTTTCACCTTTAACCAGAGGGGGCCACGAAAGGAACAGTGGTCAGAGGGAGGGGCCTACCTGCCAGGTCTCTTCATCCCACAGGCGACCTTCCCTGTTGATGCAATAAAGTCCCATGACACCAGCAGCTGTTCATTGGAACTGGATTCTCTAACCATGAGGTTGTGTATTATGGGCAGAATGGTCATCTTCATTCATTGCTTCTGTTTTCCATCATTTTGTTTTATTAATAAAAAAAATCTGTATTTACTCCCGATATCACAATAAAATAAATTATTGGATCCAAATCATTTACAAAAATGGTTTTTCCCTTTGAAAATGCCGAGGAATCCTGCGTTCACAGGATGCAGAGGCCAGCTGAGGAATCCTGGTCTTCACGGTGGTGATGGGCTCCTGATTATGTGGGAGGTTCCTAAGGTGGTGTGGACTTAGAGGTGTGGGGTGGAGGCCCGGGAGTGGAGACATTCCTCAACTTTGTGGGACGTGAACAGTGATGGTGGGCAGGGAGGAGGGGCTGATGCGGCCCGGTTACTCCGTCTCCTAACTTGAGTGGGCCTCTGCATACCAGCTGTTTGGGAAGGAACTGCTCACCCAGGCTTCCTGGGAAAGCCGTCTACTTAGAGGGCAGGAAGAGAACAACAGGGTCCTGGGAAAGTGAAGGAGAGAGTGAGTGACCAGGCCTCCAGTCCAGGGGGGAGGGGATGGAAGGGGAGGAGGACGTGGTTGTTGCTCGTCTGGGAGACTCAGGAGGTCTCGGCTGAGGTCTTGGCTGGTGGAAAAACCTGGCTTGATGTGGCCCCAGGGAAGTGAGTTGCGGGAGGCGGAGACTGCTCTGGTGGGAAGCAGAGCAGAGATTTCCCCCCCCCACACTTTGGGAATTTTTAACTCTATCTGAGCCACGTACTTGACACCAACACCACCCCAAGCCGTTTTTTTTAAAGGAACTATTCACTTCCCATCCTGCACCGACCTGTGTCCCTATTTGTGGGGAAACCAGTCACCCGTCCCCATCTGGCCACAGGCTGGGGGGTGGGGGGGGTCACCGGAGGTAACACTCTAGGAGGAGGAGGCCAGAGTCGAGGGAGGGGATGGGAGGAGTCGTCACAGGGTTTATTTTGTAGTACCGATGTTTTCCTCCCCCCCCCAAAACTCTTCCCATCCCACGTCTCTCCTTTACAGCCAGAGGTCTCAAAAAAATCGCCCTCCCCCCCCAAATCCGCGCACCCACCGAGGCGGCTCCCGCACCCATCCCCGCCCGCACCGCCGGTTCAGAGGTGCCACGCAGCTGGGGGGGGGGAAGGGGACCCGGGGAGCCGGCCCCTCCGGGAGGGGGCAGCCGGAGCGGCCTTCCTAAGGGATCTCACCTCCTACCCCCGGGGCCACCCCTCCCTCCCAGGCCCGGATCCCTCGGCGCCTCCATTTTTGTTCCGGGCCCCGGGAGGCAGGGGCTCCGGGGTGGGCAGGAGGGGTCCGAGGGATCCGGTAATTCTCGCCCGCCCGCCGCCCGCCGCGGGGAGCGGGGCGCCGCGCCCCCTCCTCCCTCCCTGCCTCCCTCCTCCCGGCCCGCACCCCGGCATCCCCTGCCACCTTCCTCGGGGTCTCCCCCCCTCCCGCCCCTTGTTGCTAAGGCCCGGACCGTCATCCCAGCAACAGCCTCAGTCATGTGACCGGCAATGGCGGCGCGGACGGGAGGTAGGTGAGCCCGGCGCCCCCACACCCACCGCGTGCCCCCCACCCTCCCCGATCCCACCTCGCCAGCCCCCCGATCCCCTCCGACACCCCCCTCCACGCGCTCGCACCCCCCGCGCGCACGGGGCGCTGGCCCGGAGGGGGGCCGCGTCCGCGTCCTGGGCCCCAGGGCCCATCCTCCTCCTCCTCCTCTCCTTCCTCCTCCTCCTCCCGGCACCTCCAGCCCCGGGCTCCACGGCGGCGGGGGTTGGGGGGGTTCAACCTCCTCCGGGCCGCAGCCGGGTGGACCCACGCCCTCACCCAGCGGCGGGGGACTCCGGGGCTCCCCCGAGTAGGGATGCGGGAGTTGGTGTCGGGTTGGATGGATCTGGGGGCAGGTCTTGGGGGGGGGGAAGAAGGGTGGGGGCGCCTCCGGGGACGCCCCCTCCCCACCCCCACCACCCCCACCCGGGGACCCTTGCCCTTTCTCGCCGTCCCTTGCCAGGGGCCCCGTGGTCGGGGAGGGAGGAGACGCTGGTCCCGCTGTCCGGCCTGGTTTGCCCCCGAGGAATGCCAGACCAGACTAAACTGTGGCCCCGCCTCCCTGCGCCGTGCCAGCAGGGCTCGGAGCTAGGACACCTCGGTCCCGGGTCCTCTCGAGAGGCTGGGGTGGGGGCATTCCACCGTGCAGTCCACGGGCCCGGGCCCCGCGGCCTGGGACGCCAGGGTTGCATCCTAAGGGCCCTAGGGTGGAGGGAGGCACGCACACGGACAGCGGCTCCTTCTCGGGATGAGTCAAGGAATCGAGGTCACATCAATGGCCCCTCTTCCTGATGGAGCCGCACTTTGTTGTGGGCACAGACCTGGAGCTGGATGTGTGACAGGCCCGGGGGTGGGGTGGGGGTGTGTGTGGTGGAGACGCGGGGTCCCTCTGGCTGTGCTCTTGCTTGAGCCCCGCCCCTCCTAAATGCAGACCCAGGAGCTGACCGAGCTCTGCGGGCCCTGGGTTTAAAGGTGACAGGGAGAACTTTTGTTACTGCAGGGACAGATACCACTTTGCTGGCGTCCCTAGCAGACCTCGGCTCTCCAGGAAAGGCCCCTGTCGGCAACAGGGACTTGAATTATTTGAGGATGTGGAATAAAGAGATGAGTTGAGGAGCCTAGGAAAGATATGTCAGTGGCAATCGGAGGGAGGTGGCAAGTAAGACCTTCATCCTCGAGGGCCTTTATCTGCCCCTCGGATCTCCCTCTGCACTGGGGGAAGAGAAGAGGAGTTAGAGTTAGCCTGATGAAGTTCCTGGAGCAACTTTGAGGGGCTGGGCCTGGAATTCTGCAGGGAGGCGAGGACACAGAAGTGTTTTGTTTCTGGGCTGGCTGGGGAAATGCTATCGTAACTCTTTGCCTTCCTCGTCCCCAGCTCTGGCCAGCTGAATGTGGAAGTAGAGAGACTTCTGGCACCACTCCCATGGTCTTTTCAGGTACCTGCACCCCCAAGAGGACCCCAGTTCATGTTCCTCCCATGTTCCAAGGAATCCCATGCCTGGTAGCCCTGCTCAAGGTCCCTGTCTGTTTCAGGGGCTCCTGAGTTGAGGCCTGTGGGGGTTGGAGAATCTGTTTCTGACTTCATTTTTTTTTTACCCCATCACACTAGGCCACACGATCTCCAAGTAGCAGGGAAAAGGAGCGAGCCTGCATGCCAATTCTAAGCTCTTCCGGATCAAAGTGAGCACAAAGGGGGGGTGGGAAGCCTCCCTCCCCATTTGAAGAGCCTTCCCCCCACACACACCCTGAGGGGTAGGGACAAGCGGTTGTGGTCAGGGGAGAAATGAAGGAGGCAAGCTTGACTTAGATAATAATGAAATATGGGAAGCTAGTTCCCCAGCAGGTGCTGGGACTATGGGAGAGAAGGGGAAATGGAAAAACAAACAAACAAACAAACAAACCAGTTTGCGGGAGGTGTTGGGGGCGGCTTTGAGGGGAACAGAGGTGATGTGGGGTTTGGAGGCACCTGAGTGGGAGGCGCGCCTGCGCGTCAGGTGGGGACTCCCCACTCTGAGTCCCTTCACCCTGGGGGCAGTGTCGTTCGTCCTGTCCAGAATGGCAGCCTGCGGAGGCACCTGCAAGAACAAAGTGACCGTCTCCAAGCCCGTGTGGGACTTCCTGAGCAAGGAGACCCCAGCCCGGCTGGCCCGGCTCCGGGAGGAGCACCGAGTGTCCATCCTCATCGATGGAGAGACTTCCGACATCTACGTGCTCCAGCTTTCCCCGCAGGGCCCTCCCCCGGCCCCTCCCAATGGGCTCTACCTGGCCCGCAAGGCTCTCAAGGGGCTACTGAAAGAGGCCGAGAAAGAGCTGAAGAAAGCTCAGAGGCAGGGGGAGCTCATGGGCTGCCTGGCTTTGGGGGGTGGTGGGGAGCACCCTGAGCTGCACCGCCCAGGTCCGCCTCCTCTTCGGGCAGCCCCGCTCCTGCCCCCAGGAGCACGCGGGCTCCCCCCTCCCCCTCCCCCCCTGCCCCCTCCACTCCCTCCGCGTCTTCGGGAGGGGGCTGAAGAGCAGGAGAGCATCTGCCCCATCTGCCTGGGGGAGATCCAGAACGCCAAGACGCTGGAGAAGTGCCGCCACTCCTTCTGTGAGGGCTGCATCACGAGGGCCCTGCAGGTGAAGAAAGCCTGCCCCATGTGTGGCCGCTTCTACGGGCAGCTGGTGGGCAACCAGCCCCAGAATGGGCGGATGCTGGTCTCCAAGGATGCCACCCTCCTGCTACCCAGCTATGAGAAGTACGGCACCATTGTCATCCAATACGTCTTCCCGCCCGGTGTCCAGGGGGTAAGAAGACCACAGTTCTCCCTGACCGATGGTTTTCCTCCACGTTCACTTTCTGACCTAAGAAAAATAGGTGATGTGGGCAGTGTGTTTCGAGGCGTGACGGGCTCTTGCTGTCGCCCAGGATGCCTTGGGATGTGCTCTGGAGCTGGTGGGGAGGTGGGGGGGGCTCCTTAAGGCCCAGCTTTTTATCTCCATGACCCAAAGGCACATATAAAACTCAGGGATGAGGGCTGGCATGTAGCTCAGTGGTAGAGCACACGCCTATCCTATGGGGAGCCCTGAGTTCAATCCCTGCCCCCAAGAAAACCAAATCAAACAAGGGAAAAAAAAAAAAAACAACACCCAAAACTTAAAATCGGATATGACAGAAAGGCTTGAACTAGTAACCTGGCTCGTGTGGATATGACAGACATCCTTGGCAGAAGGAAAGTCTGGAGTTGGTACAGGGACCTGGCCATTCTAACAGCTCGGGTGCCCCTCTGTGCCCGGTTAGGGGACAATAAGGTCTTGATGAAAGTTAACTCTGAAGGGAAGACATAGGAAAATGGAAACGTGAGGCAGTGGCCGAGCGTTAGTATTTGAGGCAGAGGGAATGCCAAAAGATAAGTTTTTCTTGTTGTCGCATTTTTGCTGAGTTGTCTGGAAAGTAACTTCCATCACTTCCGAGAGTCCATTTGTCCCTGAGTTGAGAACTGAGGGATTATGTCCAGATACAGGCTCTGCTGCCCAGACCCCCAAAGCCACCCTTCCCCTGAAAGGCTGTCAGTCTGCTGGGAATGAGCCTCCACCGGGATCCAGGCCTTTGAGACACTGCTCTCTGCCTCCTCTGCCTCCTCCCCCTCTCAGGCTGAACACCCGAACCCCGGAGTTCGGTATCCTGGTACCACACGGGTGGCCTACCTCCCGGACTGCCCCGAGGGCAACAAGGTGCTGACCCTGTTCCGAAAGGCATTTGACCAGCGCCTCACCTTCACCATTGGCACGTCCATGACCACAGGGAGACCCAACGTCATCACTTGGAACGACATCCACCACAAGACCAGCTGCACAGGGGGACCCCAGCTGTGCGGCTCCTCCCCATTTCCTTCCCCCTGGCTCCTCCCCTTCCTCCCATGTCTACTTTGGGAGAGTCATCTGCCCTCTCCTCTGGGAGTCTCCTAACTGGAGAAGACCACCCATCACTTGCTCAGTCTGTTTTCATCCTGGTCCTGATGTGTTCAGCTTAACAAACAAAAACAAAAAGCTGCAGACTCTGGCTTACCTTGGTTTTGGAGGTCCCTCCTCATGGGAAGTGGGGAGGGGTCTGAATCTGGCCTCTCCCGAGTCACTCAAAATGAGGGTGGGTAAGAATGAGCAAACCCCCGCAGCTAACTCTGACCCTCATCTCTCTCTGCCCCAGGTTTGGGTATCCGGACCCCACCTACCTGACTAGGGTGCAAGAGGAACTGAGAGCCAAGGGTATCACAGATGACTGAAGGCCACCCCCCTTTGCCAAGGCCCCCCGCTGTCCTCTTCCACTAGGATCCAACGGAAGCCTCCGTTCTCCTCTCTCTCTGCCCCCACACCACCCACACGAGGGGATCTGTGCGACTGAGGTGGGAGTTCAGGGGGGGGGAAGGGGACCGTCCCTTCCCCTGCCCCCCCATTGGCCAAGTGCTTCTGTGGCCTGTGAGCCACGCCCTCTGCAGCAGAGGCTGGTTCGGGGCTCCCTCCCTGCACTCCGTGTACATACTCTATACCCTGCTCCCCCAGCGTCCTTGGCTTTTCCCGGTATGCACTGTTGTCCAGTGACTGGGCTGAGAAAGGACCTGGGTAGGGGACGGAGGTCTCGAGCCCCGGCCCCTGGACACTGTACTGTCTCACCTTGGACTGAATTAGCTGCCACCCCCAGCCAGCTGTGTGTTAAGATAACAGTAGTCCTACCTTAACGGGATCCTTTCTCTCCTGTGTCTGTCTGTCAGTCTGTCTTTCTCTCGCTCTTCTCTACCCCTATAAGGAGCCTCCTCACCCTGTTCTGGAATTGCTGCCAGACTGTAGCTTTTAATTTAATAAAAATAAAGTAAAATATGCAACTCGATGCCACACCCGTTTTCTGTTCCTTGGACCGGGTGGGGGTGGGGAGCAGGACCCGCTGAGAAGGAGCTGGGGGAATGGGGGGAATCCTTGCGCGCATGCACAGTCCCTTTACCTCCTGGGACCCTGGGGAACGGGTAGAACCAGTGCTGGGCGCCGCAATAACCCCGCAAGGCCCTAGGCCACATCTCCATGGATGGGGTCGGGATTGAGAGGAGTTGGTTTGTTGTTCAACTCCGTTTGCGGAGCAAGGAACAACCCTACCCCTTCTGCGAAGTTTGGCCGAGGTGGGAGTGGGGGCGGAGCCCGGCAGGGGGGCGGATTCGGCCGCAGCAACACCCCGGACGCAGACAGGCCTCAGAGCCCCCCAGCTTCCGTAGCCCCTCGGCCCTGAAACCTGAAGCAGGGTAGGGGGTCCAGCATGAAGCCCCCGGACCGCCCCACCCCTGGCCGCACTGACCGGATACTGGGGGTCATGGGGGGCATGCTGCGCGCATGCGCCGTACCCGGGCAGGAGGGGGTAAGAAGGAGGGACCGCGGGTGGGGTCGGGGGTCTTTAGGGGGACTTCAGGAGAACTGCACTCCACGACTCAGTTTACCCGCAAACAAAAGTTATATGGAGCAGTGGCAGGGATCCTTAAGTTCGCTTATAAAGGGCATAGGCCAGGTTCTTGTTGAACCTTTCAAAATAATGCGCATTTTGGCAGGAGGGGGAGGGAAAGGGGAGGTCAAGGCAGCCCGCGCGTGGAGCGGGGGGGTCCTTACAGTGACTCTGTCCCAGCAGACCCCGAAGAGAGATCCCTTAGGGCCTGGGAGTACCGGGACAGACAGTGATTGTACCGAGAAGGTCCAAACAGGGGAGCGCGAACCTGAGGTCCGCGCCTGGGCTCTGCAGCCGGGTAAGAAGCTGGGCTTGGGTGGGGCACAGTTTGCCATCCTGCGCCAAGTGCTGACTTCCCACAGATCCTGCTCACAGTAACATCAAGGTTTGCACCCAATTTGCATGGGACCATTTAACCGCAGACACCACGCTTCTCTTCGCCCTTCTAGCCCGATGTGTGTCCTCACTTCGGCGGGTCCCCAGCCCCCCGAAGGCGGAGTGGAGTGTCCCCGCGCCCCACCCCTGGCCCTCGGCCAGCTCAGGCGCCTGGACTTCGCCTTAATTGGTGATTAGTTTTAGCTTGGAGTTCTGGGGCCTGGAGGAAAGAAGGGTCGGGGGAGAGAGGGCGGCACCTGGGCTGTGTTCCTCACAAAGTGTTCCCCATACACGCATGCCCTGCGTGGGGCGCAGGGGGTGGGGTGGGGGGGAGACACCCAGAACCCCAGAACGTTTCACACGAGCCAAGGCCCCATCCAGAGAGAGAATCCTTCATCTCAGGGGCCAGGGGGCGACCGAGGCAGACCGCCCCCCCCCCCCACCTCCAGGCTTCTCGCCTAGCCCGGCGCCCCGCAGTCGCAGCTGGGATGCCAGAGGGCGCAGGATCTGGGGCGGGGGAGCCCAGGCCCGGGAGGAGGGGTGGAGGTCTCGGGACGTGGAGTGGGAGCTTGGTGGAGCCCGGGGGAGGGGGCTGGGGCAGCGGGAGGGGGAGGCGGAGCTGGGCCGCAGAGGCCCCTCCCCGCGGCAGCAG